TTTAAAGAGACTTTTATGTTTTTTAGAAGGAAATGTGTTTGAGGAACATAAAAACATGATAGGACCCTCATGGGTCACTTTACCCAAGAAAATCAGCAAAAGCAACCCATGTTAGCAGGCGGAAGCCTTCAGGCTCCTGTTGATAGCTGCCCAGAGTTCACAGCTGTGATCAAAGGACCATACCCCTGAGGAACGGGTCAAACAGTGAAGCCTGCAAGCACATCACTCTGGTGGTTCCCAGCATGGCATCTGGTGGGTGCCGTAAGCAACGGCATCCCTGGTGCACTCGGGAGGTCAGGACGGGAGGATCGCCGCAAGCGTGAGGCCAGCCTGAGTTACTCGTGAGATCCTGAAAGACACCTTTTTATTTACTGAACCAGTTTCTGTATTCTTGCATGCATCCGATGCTTACAAGTCCCTGTTGTCACAATGTGCATTCAAGGGGCCAAAGTTATAAAACCTGCATGCTCTAAAAGCCTTGACACAATTTCTGTCTCCTGGTCTGATAATGAGGCAAAGATGAACTACATGGTGCGTGTATGTACACGCACACACACATACACATACATACACTGCAAATACACCACCTATGAGCACGCTGCAGTGAAGAAAAGGAAAAAGAATGTAAAAAGCTGAAAAGAAAACTCAATCCATGAAACAGTGTAAGAGCCTGCGCACATTTGCCGTGTGGCGTGCACCAGAGATGCCTTTCCTTATAAGGCGAGATTTTCTCTGGAGAACATGTTCACGTTCTGCTGCTTTTCACGAATTCTTCTGGGAGCTGAGATGCATGACCTGAGTTCCCTGTTAGGGCCCCCGTTTTCCCACCAGGATACTTTCTAGGTGACCCCGTCCACTCATGCTCTGAACACATTTGCCTCAAACTTCAACACCTGTGCACAAGTGTCTTCCCGCCCTGCCTGCATAGAATTATTTCCAGGACAGTACGTCGTTGAGGTCTCCAGGCAAACTTACTTCCTCAGCTCCCGTGGTCACTGGTAGGCAGGTGGGACACCATAGTACACAGACCCCCAGCTCGTAAATGTCAGTTTTTGCTGTCTCTGCTTGGCGTGGCCGACCCACTCACCTGAATTTTCTGCCAAACGCACTGGGCTAGGTGCAAAAGCGAACTTTCTTGGTAATGCACAAGTTCACCTGCAGCAGCCCTGATGGTCCGCAACTGCGTGCCTGTAATGGTTTGCAGACTCGGGTGAAATCCATTTTCTTTTGCAAAGCCCAATGAAGCTCCAAATAAGCATAACATTGCTTCGTTTTTTTCAATTACTAACACATAAGAAGTTCTAGAATTTGGGGATCTACTAAGGCCATGAATTGTATACATTTCATAAAAAGTATCGGGAATTGATTTGAAAAGAGACTTCCATTAACCAAACTGAAGCATGTGCTGGGTTTGTTGCTACAGTTGTTGTTTATTGTTTTTTTCAATTTCACCTTGTCACTTAGGCTAGCTTCAAATTCAGGGACTCAAGTGATCCTCCTGCCTCAGCCTTCCAAATAGCTGGCATTACCTGTAACCCCCAGCTTTTCTCTCAGACTTTGTGGTAGACAGTTTTTCTTTGTTGCCAGCCCAATTCCTAAGCAAAGACAGTTCACATTCAATGCACTTTGGAGCCCTGAGGCAGTGCCAGACAGCACTGTCCTTGGTTCAGAAGTTCATGTGCCTCGGATTTGTTCTATTCTCTGCCCAAGGCCAGGGTTTGAAGGCCAGTGTGGTGCTCTGTGTGAAGAGGCAGGAGCCATACAAGATCGAAAAATTGGCAGCTCTCCTACTGACATCCAAAAACTGCACTAATCCCTTCCCCACACTTGTGTTTTCTCCGCCTCCTACCTTGCCTTTTTTCCCATGGGAAGTGTGGCTCTTGGCTTTTGGCTTCCTTGGGCTCCCCTTGGGGTCTGTCCCTGGGTCCTTAGGAGCTCCATGCCCCCGGCCCACCTCGCCCCTACAGGCACTGTGCATGCACACACACTCCTGTCTGGGCCATGCCACACTTGAGTTCAGACAGCTTCTGCACCAATTCGTTTTTGTCCTCTGTCCCCTTGGTGCCAAAAGGGCACATAGTAAGTGCTGGGTGAGGAAATGAACAAATGAGCAAATGAAGGCATAGAGCTCAAGCCTCGAGGGGCCAGTGGCTTCCTCGGAGTTTGCATTTGTCTTTACAGGCTGCACTGGGGCTGTGGGGGCTTTCAGGCATCAGAACTGCAGGCCAAGATCTGGGTCCAAATCCTACCTCTGCCTGTACTGCTGCTGACCCATGGAAATGTGGTGAAACCCTCTGTAATTATAGTTCCTGCTCTGGGGCAGAGGCAGGACGAAATAGGAGCAACAGGTGACCATCATGTTACAAGCGGCCCGTCAGGAACCACCAGGCACCCACAGCTGCGGAGGGGAGGCAGGAGATACCCATGGCCCATGATGAGGAGGTGGGCACTGCCTTTCTATCCTGGCCTCTTAACCCACAGGGCTCTGGCAGAGCAGAGGTACCAGTAACTCTGACAGCCTCCATCCCAGGTGTCCCTCACTGTGACCTGGCCACTGGTATAGAGCACCCAATCTATTCATTTTGCTCCCTGCAGGGGTCCTGGCCACCAGTGTCAGGAGACTGGCAGGGGTCAGATCCCAGATGCACTCCCATTGTCCCCACTCTGTGTCCCACCCTGCCTCCTGCTGGGCAAATTGTACTGTTGATGGCAGGTGTGGGTGCTGCAGGGAGCCAGCGGCCCTGGGCCAGCTTGCTGGAGTTTCTGTTCCAGCTGACATCCATGCTGGCTGTGCTCTTCTTGGCAGGTGGCTTCCCCGGGGACACTTTGTTGTGGCTGATCTGGGGCCGAGGGTGGGCGAGCTCTGTTTGCAAACTAGATAACACGACATTGGCAGAGGACACATAAGGAGGGCCATGTTTGCACAA